TACCATTTACCAATGTGAAGTCAGGAGCAGATAAACCATCTAAACAGTCCCATAACCCTGAAAGAAATAGAAGCAGTCATTAAAAGTCTTCCTACTAAAAAAAGTCCGGGACCAGACAGTTTTAGTGCAGAGTTCTATCAGATCTTCAAAGAATACTTAATACCAGTTCTCTATAAACTTTTCCACAAAATAGAAACAGAAGGAACACTACCAAATTCATTCTATGAAGCCACAATTATGCTCATACCTAAACCACACAATGACACAACAAAGAAAGAGAGCTTCAGACCAATCTCCCTTATGAATACCGATGCAAAAATACTCAATAAAATTCTCGCAAACCGAATCCAAGAACACATCAAAACAATTATTCATCATGATCAAGTAGGCTTTATCCCAGGAATACAGGGAAGGTTCAATATACAGAAATCCATCAATGTAATCCACTATATAAACAAACTCAAAGAAAAAAAAACACATGATCATATCACTAGATGCTGAGAAAGCATTTGACAAAATTCAACCCCTTCATGATATAAGTCTTGGAAAGATCAGATATCCAAGGCCCATACCTAAACATAGTAAAAGCAATATACAGCAAACCAATAGCCAACATCAAACTAAATGGAGAGAAACTTGAAGCAATCCCACTAAAATCGGGGATGAGACAAGGCTGCCCACTCTTTCTCCCTATCTATTCAATCTAGTACTGGACATCCTAGCCAGAGCAATCAGACAACAAAAGGAGGTCGAAGGGATCCAAATTGGAAAGGAAGAAGTCAAAATACCACTATTTGCAGATGATATGATAGTATACTTAAGTGACCCCAAAACTTTCTACAAAGAACTCCTAAACCTGATAAACAACTTAAGCAAAGTGGCTGGATATAAAATTAATTCAAACAAATCAGTAGCCTTCCTCTACTCAAAAGATAAACAGGCTGAGAAAGAAATTAGGGAAATGATATCCTTCACAAAAGCCACAAATAATATAAAATACCTTGGTGTGAATCTAATCAAGCAAGTAAAAGAACTGTATGACAAGAACTTCAAGTCCCTGAAGAAAGAAATCGAATATTTTAGAGGATGGAAAGATCTCCCATGCCCATGGATTGGAAGGATTAATATAGTAAAAATGGCTATCTTGCCAAGGGCAATCTACAGATTTAATGCAATCCCCATCAAAATTCCCACTCAGTTCTTCACAGAGATAGAAAGAGCAATCCTCAAATGCATTTGGAATAACAAAAAACCCAGGACAGCAAAAACTATTCTCAACAATAAAAGAACTTCTGGGGGGAATCACCATCCCTGACTTCAAGCTGTACTACAAAGCAATAGTGATAAAAACTGCATAGTGTTGGAACAGAGACAGGCAGGAGGGTCAATGGAATAGAATAGAAGACCCAGAAATGAACTCCCATACCTATGGTCACTTGATCTTTGACAGTGGAGCTAAAACCATCCAGTGGAAAAAAACAGCATTTTTAACAAATGATGCTTGTTCAACTGGAGGTCAGCATGTAGACGGATGCAAATTGATCCATACTTATCTCCTTGTACAAAGCTCAAGTCCAGGTGGATCAAGGACCTCTACATAAAACCAGCTACACTGAAACTAATAGAAGAGAAAATGGGGAAAAGCCTCAAACACATGGGCACAGGGGGAAAGTTCCTGAATAGAACACCAATGGCTTATGCTCTAAGAGCAAGAATTGACAAATGGGACCTCATAAAACTGCAAAGCTTCTATAAAGCAGAGGACACCATCAATAGGACAAAGCAGCAACCAACAGATTGGGAAAAGATCTTTTCCAATCCTACATCTGATAAAGAGCTAATATCCAAGGTATACAAATAACTGAAGAAATTAAACTCTAGAAAATCAAATAACCCTATTTTAAAATGGGGTATAGAGCTAAACAAAGAATTCTCAACTGAGGAAACTCGAATGGCCGAGAAGCACCTACAGAAGTGTTCAACATCCTTAGTCATCAGGGAAATACAAATCAAAACAACTCTGAGATTCCACCTCACACCTGTCAGAATGGCTAAGATCAAAAACTCAGGTGACAGCAGATGCTGGCGAGGATGTGGAGAAAGAGAAACACTCCTCCATTGTTGGTGGGATTTTAAGCTGGTACAACCACTCTGGAAAGCAGTCTTGTGGTTCCTCAGAAAATCGAATATTGTATTACCTGAGGACCCAGCTATACAACTCCTGGGCATACACCCAGAAGATGTTTCAACATACAACAGGGACACATCAGTGGAAGAGGAGGGCCTTGGTCCCTGAAAGTTTGGATTCCCAAGTGTTGGGGAATTTGAGAGTAGGGAGGTGGGTATGGGTGGATGGTGGGAGCACATCCTCATAGAAGTGGGATGAGGGGGATGGGATAAGGGGTTTGGGGGGAATAGGAGAGGGGATAACATTGAAAGGTAAATAAATAAAATATTCAATAAAACAGATAATGGGTCTGGCAATTGTGGTCGAGCAGTCGAGACTTTTTGTCAACAATTTTTTATGGGGATTTCATATAATCCTCAAGGACAAGGTATTGTGGAAGAGGCCTATGGAACTTTAAAAAGATTGGTGTGACATGCTGTTGCTGAGACAAAGAATGATGCCGACCTGTGAACTTGCTGAGTGCCCTGACAAGGGTGACTGTGGAGGTGCATTGGACATATGTTCCTGACCCACCTTTGCTTGACTATATCCCAGATGGGATAAGTTGCCTTGCCTCAAGTTGTTAGACCTTGTTGGATAGAGAATCAAAAAGAGAAATTATAATGTCACTTATATTTTTCTTAAAGGTGACCAGCTATTAGGATTCAATCATGTACTGGTCTAGAAACCAATAATATTGGAAATAACAGTCTACTTTTGGAAGACTGGATCTGGACATTGTCAGAGACATATTTGGAAGTTAGCTATAGCTCACTATGATGTTACAATAGCAAGAGATAAAATTGGGACAGGATCTGTATTTCAAACAAAGGTTAGTGCATGTTTTAAGGCTCTTTTAATTGTCAAGCTAAAATTGGTTTTGTCTCTTCTACAGTACTTATTATAAGTTGCATTGACTATATAATTTCCATTTGTGTTAGTGTGTTGAAACCTGGCATGTCTGTTATGGGGCTCTATCAACCAGCTTTCTTCTTACTGTCCTGAGTATTAGAAAATCTTGGTTCACTGAAAAAAGCTTAAAAGTGCTGGAAGAAGTGAGTTAGGCTTTAAGCAGAAGCAAGAGGGTAGCGGGCTTGATTATTGCTGGTATAACAGCTTTAATTTCATTAATTGCTAGCACCACTGCTTCTGCAATAGCATTGACACAAGGAGTTAAGACAATTATTTTTGTTAACCATCTAGCAAAAAAAATGTTACTAATGTATTGAGTATACAAAAGGATTTATATAGGTACTAGAACAATGGATGATGCTCTATAACCCATTCAAGTTATCTGAAGGAGGCTCAGGGTTCAAGAGTTAGGAACCATCCCAAGTGTCATGACAAATATCATTGGAGTTGTGTTACTTTTGAAATTCACTATGATTGTCATTATAATTAGAAAAAAATTTAAAGACACCTGTAGGATATTTGGCATAATCCTAACACCTCTTGGGGTGTGTTAACTTTGCATAGTGAGATTATGAATTTAAAGAATGCTGCTCTGTTGAGCTTTTATGCTGCAGATAATGCCGATAAAATTATCCATGGCCTGAGTTCAGTATTTCCATTTTGGTCAAACCTCAGGAATGGCATATATAGCTTGATCAGGCTAGCCCTTCTTGTCCTGGAAATGCTTTTACTCCTGCCCATCTTGTTAAAGCTTATCTTTAACAATATCAACATGTAGGCAGCCAAAGTACATGGCTTGAACCTGAAAATGGAGCCCCCAGACAGAGTCATTAAATTAGCAGGCTGGCAAGCCAAGGACAGGTAAGATTCTATACAGAGCCTTACCAACCTAAGACATAAGTGCATTGCTTTTCATAATGCATATTCCATGACAGGTAAGGAAGTCATTCTTGTCAGGACGACCTAAGACAGGCTCAGTCTTGTTAATGGGAGAGAGTTGGAGGACCTTTGGGGCTGCTTGGCAAGAATCTGACTTGGGCCAATGACAAGAAAATGGGCTGCTTGGCAGAAATATGACATTGGCCAAGGACAAGGAAGTAGGCTTCAAGCAAGAATCTGACATTAGGCTAGAACAAAGAAGTAATTTCAGGCAGGAGCCTAAATATTAGACTAGAACAAAGAAATAATTTCAGACAGGAATCTAAATCTTAGGCTAGAACAAGGAAGTAGGCTTCACACATGAAAATGACCTTGGGCTAGGACAAGGAAGTAGTCTTAGATACTTTAGTCATCCTGATAAGTCTTTAGAAACAGTGATCACAGGAGTGTTCATGTAATTGAGTTTAATGCCTTGCTTTTCCTTTGACTATTTGTGTTCATTGCATTGCTTGTTCCTTGACTATTTGCATCTATTGTATTGCTAGACCCTCAACCTAGAACTGACCTTAATATATGCATGGAATCATAATGGTAAAAAAAAAAGAGAGAGAATTCAAATAAGTCAGAAACTGAAAAGGTAAAAGAAAACAGACTAGAATTTTTAAAACAAACAAAAGAGCCAAAACTTTTTTCAAGCAATATTCAATGTTCAGCTCTAAAGCTTCACTTTAAACTTCTAATTATAGCAATAACATCAGCGAGGATAACACATAGCAAGACATTTAAAAATAACCATATTTTATGACACCTTCAATTTGTATCCTTAAGAAATACTGGAAGTGGGGCTGGAGAGATGGCTCAGAGGTTAACAGTACTGACTGCTCTTCCAGAGGTCCTGAGTTCAATTCCTAACAGTCAATCATGTGGTGGCTCACAACCATCTATGATGAAATCTGGTGCCCTCTTCTGACATGCAGGCATACATGCAGGCAAAACACTTGTATACATAATAAATAAATAAATCACTGGAAGTTATACATACCTTCACGGGGGGCACTTTTCCAGCAGGTGTGATCTGGCCAGTGAAAAAACTTCCAAAGTGATTCGCTGCTAAAACAACAGTCTTATAACTGAAAAAATAAACAGAGAGCTCCATAAAGTAAAAAGTGGAAGGCCATACATTACTATAACCTGTTGGTTACATGACTGCAGAAATCTAATTCTTGTACAGTATACTCTAAGGCCAGATTAATTCTGAGCACCATTTATACACTTACCCCACTGACATTTACAATCAGCCTCTGAATGCATACAATTACTATATTGGCTTCATAAACACAGACACGAAGGCGAAAGGACCACTTTTCTGCTAGTCAGCAGCAGAGTGAGCATCCTGCCCTGGGCAGTATTGTTGGGGAGGAAGATTCTCACCCAAAGAGCTACTCAGCCGCTTCCTAACAAGTACTGCAGACTAGCCAAGATAGTTTAAAAAGTAAAGATGCCAAATGCCATCAGTGCCTTTCTTCAGATGTTGAGGCTCCCTATCTTCAAATTTCCCTTTTTTTTTTAAACTGTGTTGTTCAAATTTTCTTTGATGGCTATGCAGTACTTACATTACACAAGGAGAGGTCCATCTAGATTAGGTGTGACGTTGTATATATTTCCATCTCAGAGAGGAAAAATCACAACCCTTGATTTGTAGTAGGTGAAAATCTGGGCTCCTGAGACAGATCAAATGATCAGATCTGACCAAAATTAACCCTGGTTCTCCTCATCTATAAAATAAGAGCCAAGAAGTACATCAAGCTCTGAAAGCTACTGAGAGAATGAAGTGAACATGGGTGAAATATTCAGTGTGGTTCTTATCACAGGACAAATGCTCAGTAAATAGGATTTAACTACGGAAACAAGTTGTCCAAAAAATCTAACCGTGAGCTGAATCTTTTAAGATGTCTGGGGCCTAGTACACTAATCTCATTTTCACATTATCTTTACTTAGTTAAACAACTATTTTAATATTAAGACTTGTGTGCTGGCTTGCAGCAAAACCTCCCTCTTACAGTTATAATACTTAATAAAACAATTAATATAAAAACACTATCATCACTGCTATTACCGTAAGTCATAGTGGAGCAGGAAAAGGAATATTTTCAAGACAGAAAGTAGGTGTTTCTAAATGTTCCACTCCGTCTGAGGGCAACCTGCAGTCTGCTGTGCTAATGGGACCTACTTATAGTGTCTCTAAACATTCTGTTTGCTCAAACGATTCTGCAGCTGCAAGCACTGTTCCAGAGCTGATTTTGACATTCTCCTACTTGCATAGGTCTTTGACAGAATCAACAGCACTCCTAGACCTCTGCATGGGATATATTAAGCCCCACCTTGTGTAGCAGTCACTCTTCCAGCCACTAAACATGGCTACAATTTTCTTTGGCCCCTGGCACAGATTTTATAACACTAACAATGTTTTCAAGTAAACCATTTGCTACCTTCTACTAAGGATTTAAAAAGAAAAAACATATTCTAAGGGCTATACTTATGATTTTTGTTTTTAAAAACATGCTTTTGGATGAAGAAAGAGTTCACAAGATCCTGCCCCTAGCTAAAAGCTATTGGCAGTTGAGGAATTGAAGAAGGAACTCACCCAGTTTTCTTCCTAGATTCCTCCTAAGTTGCCCAATCTCCAGTGAATGGCCTTCGCATGCATGTGCATACAGACAGAACTAATTGGACTGAATGAACTCTAAAGAAAAAAAAAGCATATGAAGTTAGAAGGGGGAGGAGGGGCTACTGGGACGAGCTGTGGAGGAATGTGGGGTATGATGAAAATACATCCTATATGTACATAAAATCCTCAAATAGATAATTAAAATTAAACACTAAAAACTTATTAGAAACATGTTTATGCTTAAACGCCAAACTTATTATAACAGTTATGTGCCAAAATATTTTTTTCTTATAAGACTCTAGGCTCACTACATCCCTTTTCTCCTCAGCCATGCAAAGTCTTAACAAACCTGCAAGGATGTCAACTAAACTATAGACGAAACATCAGAGACCCATTGTATATTTTGGTCTTTCCTTAGGTAGTGGCCCCTGTGTGCCTGTTTTGGCTAGGTGTCATATCCTCTGCAACGTGACTTTTACAAGCCTTAAGCCAACTTAACAGAGTTAGCTCTAAGGCCCTAAGCCTAGTAATCTGCCTGCTGCTTTTATTGATGGGGAGAGGGACATCCAGTCACCCCTCCTATCCAGCTTTCTTGACTGATTTTCCTCTATTCATTGCTATGATACTCTAAACTCTGTGATCATGCCCCCTTGTGCTTAGAAAAAGATGTCCATAATCTGATACCTCAATTAGAAAATTGCCATATTCTTTACGGACCTTCTAGTGTCTCCCCTGAATCTCCTGACTTAATTTTGTTTGTTACTTGTTCATAATTAAAAAGAAAGAAAGAAACTAGAAATTGATAAGATTATATAGTCCCTGACTTGAATTTACTCTTGAAATATAAATTTCTTCTAGAAACAAAATGTTTGGATGGCTGAATAAATTGTTCCCAGTTAGACCTGTCAGATAAGAAAAGATAAAGTATATTTATGCTGATATAAGGTGTATGAATTTGGATGAGCCCACGAATTTAAAATGTTTAGAAATAAGATCTTTTAGGTTAAAATGGGCTAGACATCTAATTCCAGACTTGGAAGACTTAAATGGTATAATTTCAAGGTTGAGGCCGTCCAGGGCTACATAGTAAATACTAGAAAGGAGTGGAGGAGAGGGGAAGGGAGGAGAGGAAAGAGACTCTTCAGGCACTCTAAGAACCACTATTGAGCAGTAAATGAATTAAAGAATCATGGTGTAATTTACTATTACAGCAGGAGCTATAATAAAATTTACATTTGGCAAAACTGATTCTTGATATTTCTAACAACAGCAGTAGTAAATTAGCCATGATATTAAGCTGGGATTGATACGGTAATTTACAGGATTGCCAATAGTGCCCCATGCACACCTTGCCTACAGCAACACCTCCCTCATACATCTGTAAGAGCAGACCATGGACAATGAAAGCCTTGAGATCTTCTCAGCATCTATCTCCAAAAGGTCTATGATGTTACTCTGGTCTTTGATTCTATCCAAATGTCAATGATCCTTGTCATTGGTGGAGGGGTCTGTCTGTAACAGTGTGGGGAGGGAAGTAGCTTACTTTTATCTTCCCAACTCAAGAAGTTCCAAGTCTTCTCTTTATCCAAAGAGACACATCCTTTCCCGAGACAACTGTAAAAGAACAATACAGTTCAGTCTGTCACACAGAAACTTCTTTTTCATTGTCATCCACAAAGAATCATCAAAGGTTAGGAGAAGGAAGAGGATTCCAAAACCCTGAACCTTTCACTGTCCTCTGTGGTAGTGGTTGGAATGAATATGCCCCGGGTAGGCTCACAGGGAGTAGTACTACTACAAGATGTGGCTTGTTGGAGGAAGTATGTCACTGGGGATGGGCTTCGAGGTTTCAAAAGCTTAAGCCAGGCCCAGTGGCTCATTCTTACTTCCTGTTTTCTCCAGCACCATGTCTGCCTGCATGCTGCCATGCTCCCCGCCATGATGTCAATGGACTAAACCCGTAAGCCATCCCCAGTTAAATGTTTTCCTTTATAATAATTGCCATGATCATGGTGTCTCTTCACAGCAACAAAACACTAAGATACCTTTCCTGCCACTGGCCTTCTCCTGGAGAAGTCATCAACCACTTCCCTGTCAGTTCCTAAGATGGGCCTTACTTTGGGGTTGCTTTAAATCCTGGATTCTATTCTTTGACGCCCCAACGGGAGGACTATAGAAAACTTGCGCCTTCAAAAGACTCCCCAGGGCAGCCTCTGTGATTTAAACGCTATATATTTGGTCTTTTGGAAATGACACCAGAGAAAAATACATGAACCTCTATGGAAAAGACCTCAGGGGATCTGTGAGAAACAAACACAGCTAAAATTCTTCAATATTTTAAATTTGCCTCTTGTTACCCAACTAAAATGGCACTTGTGGCCAAATTCTACAAGTGTATTCCTTGAAGACTCCTCACCCTGAATGTTTGTGAAAATTCCCCAGTTGCTGAATGTCAGAAGCAGACAGCCCCTGCTATCATCTGGGGGCCAGGCCGCTGTCTGTAGAGACAGGCAGCTTCCAACAGGACAGAACAAGACACATGTTCTGAGTTTCTCAGTCCCTCTGAAACCCAGCTTCTCCATTACTGCATTGTGGCCACCTCCAAGATCCGATTCAAAATCGCTTCTCTCCCTCTGTCATTTTGAACCAATGACAGAGGGAGAGAAGAGATTTTGTGCTGCTCAAGGGGAAGAAAGCAAATTTCTTTATAATGATTTTAACATAGCTCATAGACACTGTCCTGAATTTAAATGATTGCTCATAAAGTTTAATGACTTTTAAGGGATAAAGCATTCCAAAAATAAATTTTCTTCCCATAGCTCGCTAATGCTTAAGTTTATGTTGGATAATTAATTACAGACATTTGTTTTTTAAATCTTTTATTATATTTATTTGTTGTATGTGCATGCAAGTGTGCAGTCACAAATGAGGACATGTACAAGTGTCTACACACACACGCATGCACACACACACACTCACACTCATGAATGTTGTACTGTGTGTGTGTGAATCAAAGGACATCCTGAGGAGGTTTGCTCTGCAGGGATCAGATTCAGTTCCTTGAACTTGTCAAGAAGTCCCATCATCTACTGAGCAGTATTACCAGCCACAGAGTCATCATATTTTTTAATTAACTAATTTATTTATTCTTCTCTCATATATTATATCTTCTCTGCAGTTTCCCCTCGTTACCCTCCTCCCAGTATCTCTCCTCCCACCTCCTCTTTCCCCTGAATCCACTCCTCCTTATTTCCCTCCAGAAAAGAGCAAACCTCTCTCAGGGTTATTACCCAAACGTGGCATAACAAGTTATAATAAGTCTAGGCATATATCTCATATCAATCCAGGATGAGGCACCCCAATAGGAGGAAAAGGGTCCCAAAAGCAGGCAGAAAAGTCAAAGATGGGCACTGTTCCCACTGAGGAGCCCCACAAGAACACAAAGCTACACAACCATAACATACATGCAGAGGACCTAGGTCAGACCCATACAGGCTTCTCAGTTGTCATTTCAGTCTCTGTGAGACTCTATGAGGCCTAGTTAGTTGATTCTGTGGGCCATGTTCTTATGGTATCCTTGACCCCTCTTGTCCCTATAATTCTTCCTCCCTCTCTTAGACGAATTCTCTGAGCTCCACCTTATGTTTGGTTATGGCAGTCATCGTCTTATAAACACCAGACATTGACTTCCAATCAATACACTTCTGCTGAGGTCTTTGTTTCATATCAAAAAAAATAACTCTTTAGAAACAAGAACAAAAAATCATCTTCTATTGGATATATATATGGAGATATATATATATATATATATATATATATATATATATATATATATCTCCAATGTATCATTCGTATCATTTCATAATACATATTCGTTTCATTTCAACAACTATCCCACAAAGACCATTCCTGTCATAATCAATTATTGTTAAATTCTGTTAATAATACAGTCCACCCTACTGGGATAGTCCTTAGGATACACATGAACTTGTCCTGTGAGGTAGAGAAGTTCAGATGTTCTAACTGACATCTTATCCATGAATCATATTCCCTATTCTACCCCAAAGGAATTCAGAGAAACCTCTAAAGAAAGCAAGCACTGGATACTTGAGAAAACCCATGGAGGAAGACCCAGATCCCTTATATCATATATGCTATGAGCAGCAGTTAGCACAGCTGGAATAATAGAATTAGGGATGATCATCCAAAATTTGTGACTACAGAAAGTTATATTGTTTTTGTTCTTCTTTTAAATTTGAATTTATTAAGCAGGGCTGTCAGGAGTAATCAACATTGTCCTTAGTTGTTTGTTTATTTGTTTGTTTTTTACTTAGCTAGAGTGAAAACTTCTGGCTGCACTAATATAAATACCACAGAACTGTCCCTGAGTGTGGAAAGGACCTGTGAATGACTAGGAAGAATGTACACACACAATACACACAGATACACACACACATACATGGATTTAAGCAATGTATACTCATTGCCTGGGTATTACTTTCTCTGTTTCCAGAAATTATTACAGAACTAATGACCAGGTTTATTTCTGCGAACTATCTTCTTTTACCTATATTCCCTAGTAATCTCACAGCAATGAGAAATCTGTAATAATCCCTAAGACTTTCTTCCTAGAGCACTCATTTTCCAGCCTTTTAAATGTAAGACAGAAGTACCTCTTCAACAATTAAGAGAGACACAAAATAAAAATAAAAAGATTTGCTTACTTACAGGTCCTGGCAGATACAGAGCTTGTCTGGAAGCTACACACTCCCAAGTCAGAAGGTACAAGTAGGGAGAGAGGAACTCATGGGAGAATTTTATTGGTCCAGAGTTTCCCATAGTGGAGCTAATTAAAGCAGATACAAGATCCAGAAATACCACTGCATGTCTTCACAGTGCTTGTGGGGTATAGTGGCCAGTGAGGACAGTCAAGTAGGGTATATTAGCTACCCTTTAGAAAGCTATCACTGGGAGGTGGGAGGGTGCAGCACCCATCTGGACTGCAGGTGGTAGAAACACTAACTTTCAAGACTGATTGAGCCCTGATTCTGATAGGAAAAAAAATAAGTGTGTGTGTGTGTGTACATACAGTTTAATTATGTGTTGGGGGTGTACGTATATGCACATGAGTGCACAAAGAAGCCACTGGCACTAGATCACCTGAAGATGGAGTTACTAGCAGTTGTAAGCTACCCAACATGGGTGCTATGGGCCTAACTCTGATCCTCTACAAAAACAATACAAATTTTAACCAATGGGTCATCTCTCTAGTCCTTGCAAATTAATTTAGAATAGATGCTTAGGCAACATAAAATTGTAAGAATTCACCACACCAATAATGGACATTTTCCCTTAATACAAATCCACTAACCCAACCTTATTCAATTATAGGCATTTTCATAATGATTTTTGACTAGATGGCATTGCCTCTAAGAGTCCACATAATAATGCAAAGAATAAGAAATATATAAGAAAGCACTAGTTTAAGCTACCCAGGGATAAAGAAACTAATTCCAGATGCAGCAGTAATGTTTCCCAATTTCCCTTCAGACACATGTAAAAACATGACTCACAAAAATAATTGGTTTATTATTATTAAAGGTATACAATATACTTGAAATAAATTGTCTTTGTGTAACTCATCACTATTTGCAATGAATAAACACCAATACAAATTTTTAAATCTGAAAAAAACTATCTGGTATAAATATAATGTAAAAAAAATTGTTTGTTTGTATGGTTGTTTAATTCTGCACTTCCCACAGTACTTCTGACAGAACATGAATCCCGTGAGATGCTTTGTCAAACGGAAGGCTCCCATGGTCAAATCAGTCTGAGAAATATAATCATCTCTAATTGCCCTCCCTTTGGGAATTCACGATGCTACTAGGGCTCTGTAAAAGCAAAGACTTGGTTTAGGAATGGTTTCTCTCCTGTTTTGTATTGTTCTGTCTCCTATGAAATATTTTTAACATTGACACATTCTAATCCCACAGAACTGCTTCTGTTGTTGTATAACTTATCTAGAGTGTGGCTTTGATAGAAAAGAACGGGAATACCACCTTGGGGAGATTAAAAAAAAAAAGTAAGAAATGTATGGAACACTCACTACCAAGTAAACTTGCATTTCTAACTGTGCTGGCTTTCGAGGGTTATCTTAGTAAAGTACCTTAAGCTTGGTGTCTCAAAAACCAGAACTTTCTTCTTATTCTCTTAAGGTCCTGGAAGCTACGTATCTGTACTCAAGTTGACAACAGGGCTATGCTTTTTTCAAATACTAGAATGAGGGATTCTTTTTTGCTGTCTAGCCTCTGGTAGATACCAGCAATCTTTGGCAGTTCTTGGTTCACAGATATGTCATTCCAATCTGTGTGATCCAACTCTGAGGGTGTCATTTACTGTAGTTTTTCCTGTGTCTTCATATCATCTTTCTATATGTGTCTGTGCCTCTAGCTCTTCTCTTCTTTGAGAAGCTTTGGTCATATTGAGCTTGGTGCTCACTTTACCTAGTATGACTTTGTCCTGACTTACATTGCTTATGGTGCTATCTCCAAATAAGGTTGCATTTACAGATAAATGAGGTTAAATATTTATGAGTGCTATTTTGCAAAACA